CACGGTGATCCAGACAAAAGCCAAAACTACTTTAGAAGAATGGGGGGAAAATTACTTTCTCCTTGGCCCTTATTTCGAGCACAATGTAAAGACACAAGTGGAACTTTGTGAACCTCCCAACGCGGCAGTGAAGAAAGCCATGGATGTGATAAAAGCCAATGGGTATCAGGTAAAAGAATTTTTCCCTAGAAAATTTAAATGTTTTAAAAAGTCTAAAAGAGCTGAAAAGAGTTATTGGGGTCATAAAGTCCCTCTCCTCTGTTCACATCAATAAATAAACAAACAAATCCAAATTGTTATTATTATTATTATTATTATTATTATTGTTGTTGTTGTTGTTGTTGTTGTTGTTGTTGTTTTGTAATAGATGGCAAACTAGTCTCTGCTGGAATAGGTCCAAAATACTTCAAATTCATTTGGAATTTTTTGTTACTCTTTGGTAAAAATATTGCCCTCATTCCTGAGGTCCAATATTATTTCTTAGGGTAAATACATGGACTTTCAGGTCATTGACTGGCTCAATTATTACTGACCCAGCAGTTAAGCGATGTTAACCAAAATAAAGGTAGTCCTCATGTTATGGCTGCAATGGGATCTGCCCATCATGGTCATAACTCATGATGCTTCTAAATCAGGTCAGTCAATTTGGCTAACGTTTTTTTGTGGTATTCATTCGTTCGTTCGTTCGTTCGTTCGTTCGTTCGTTCATTCATTCATTCATCCATCCATCCATCCATCCATTTTCTATGGCTGTCCAATTCAACCAAGTGACTCTGGGAAAGCTTACAAGGCTAATATTGAAAAACAATGAAAACAATTTAAAAGACATTAAAACAATAAAAACATCCCCCAAAATAGCAGCCGTTATGCGAATCATTGAAGTTGTTAATAAATCACCATGGTCGTTAAGCACATCCATAGTCATTAAGTGAATGCTGCAATCGTTAAGCCAACTGATAGTTCGCTATGAGCGTGGGTTTGCCCAAAAAATGGAAGTAAATGCCAGTGTTCGGCAAAAGTGTTGTAAAACATGGTACTGCTATTCATTACAATTCACCCAAATCTTTGTGTTGGCCTCGGTAAATTCTTAATTGCCAAGATGAAGTCATTGAATTAAAGCAGAGGTCCCCAACTCCCGGTCCGTGGACCGGTACCGGGCCATGGCATGCCAGCAACCGGTCCACACAAACAAGCAAAGCCCCATCCACAAGATGCAGGCAGCACACAAAAGCACACCCCCTCCGGTCCACGGAAAAACCTCTCTCCACGGAACCGGAAACCTAGTGCCCCAAAAGTTGGAGATCTCTGAATTAAAGAACCGATTCTATCCCCTGACTTGTATTGTTGAGCAATGAGTGTGGACTGTGACATCCCATGGTTTGCTCTATCTCTTCTGCCTCCCTTTAACAGGTCCATTTCGGGAGATGGCTGATTGAAGGAAGCCCATATGTGGTGCTGTTCGATATAGCATCAGCAGCTTGGAATCTGGATCGATGGAAAGGAGAATTCTGGGACGCCGGCCATATTGGAATTCCTTACCATGACAGAGAAGCGAATGATGTTCTCATCTTCGGATCGCTAATTGCCTGGTTTTTGAAAGAGGTGCTGTCTTTGGAGCTGAACTCCTCATCTATCTTTCTACCTGGAAGGGTCTACCTGTAGACCAGGGGGAGGCAACCTTGGCTCTTTTATGACTGGTGGACTTCAACTCCCAGAATTCCTGAGCCAGCCATGCTGAGGGGAAAGGGATAGGTTTCCAAGCTGAGCCATGCTGGCTCAGGAATTCTGGGAGTTGAAGTCCACGAGGCATGAGGGGGTCATAGTTCCCCCATGCTGGCTCAGGAATTCTGGGAGTTGAAGTCCACAAGTCATAATAGAGCCAAGGTTGCCTACCCCTGCCCTAGGCCTAGGCCGCTTTATGACTCGTGGACTTCAACTCCCAGAATTCCTGAGCCAGCCATGCTGAGGGGAAAGGGAGAGGTTTCCAAGCTGAGCCATGTTGGCTCAGGAATGCTGGGAGTTGAAGTCCACCAGTCATAAAAGAGCCAAGGTTGTCTACCCCTGCTGTAGACCATCACCTCTAGTGCTCTGGTAGCCTCTGATTCTGGTGGCCAAGTGAGCATCCAGCCTGCCATATCAAGGGAGGAAATCCCCAACTAGCCCCTGGAATCCCTCTGGATCCAGAAAAATCTCTGGGGTGGACTTTGACCCCTCTTCCTTTGATAGACCTGGGCAGCAACTGTAAAGGAAGGTAGAGTTGTCCTTGGGGGAAGATAGGAAAGGGCCATCAGGAAGGAACTTGGATAATGAATTGTATGAACCAGAGATAAAAGAAAGCACGAAGAGCAAACAAAATTAAGACAGGGTTATTCTGAGTTCCTTTCTTACCCTTCCTTATATCTCTTGACTTGATGATCTCCTGCTCAAGTCTCTCCTTAACGACATGTTCATACTTTCCCCAGGATTACTTTTAAATTCTTTCACAGCGACAATCCTCGTTCAAACCAAAAAATGATCTATCTTAGGGGTCCCCAATCCCCTGGTCCGTGAACCAGTACTGGGCCGTGGCATGCCAGCAACTGGTCCGCACAAACAAGGAAAGCTCCATCCACAGGATGAGGCAGCACACAAAACTAGGCCCCCTCTCTCCATGTAACCGGTCCCTGGTGCCCAAAAGGTTGGGGACCTCTAATCTGGGCTGGTGGCAATCCTTCACTGATTTGATTGGATTTTTATCCTGCTCTTGATTTGGGTGAACTCAAGATAGCTAACTCAAGACAGCTCCTATTTTCCCCACAATAACCTTGTGGAGTGGTTTGGGCTGAGAGAGAGTGACTGGCTCCAAATTACCTAACTAACTTTCTGATATTAGGACTAGAACTTGTGATCTTCTGGCTTCTAGTCCAGCATTTTAGCAAACACACTGCATTGATTCCAGTCTGATCACACGTCAACTGTCCTGAGACACATCTGATGCAGGATGTACTTAGTCATATGTAAGTTGTTACGCAGTACTAGCCTGTGTTTGTCATGGAGGCCATGAAAATCTGGACCTTCCATGAGCCGGTTTCCAGGCTATGGTGACTGAAATGTCCTGACCCCCCAACAGACAAGGAACTACAAACCCCAGCAGCAGCAGCCAGAGACAAAACCTCCATGTACAATGAAGCTTTAAGTACTAGCTGGTGGGCTTTGTTTGATAGCATTGACCCTAGTTATTGGCTTAGTTAATCCAGATTTCCCACAATTCCATGGAGGGATGAAACCTAGGAGACCTTACGGGAAAAGTAAAATGGCTGCTTAGATCTTGGGTGACGATGGTGAGTGGATTGTTGTCAATCTTTCACCATCAGGATCAATGCCTTCCTGGCAATAAATGACAGGTCTTTGCCCTTTAACAATGCCTAAACCTTCCTGTGTGTGTGTGTAAATTCTAGCAAATGGAAGCTTGAATAAATAGAGGAAGTACATATTCAGTGCTCGGAGTCACTCAGTGACTAAATTAACCCATGTTCTGATGTATGTTATTGCAGGGGTCCTCAACCTTGGCAACTTTAAGACTTGTGGACTTCAACTCCCAGAATTCCTCAGACAGGTTTAGACAGAGACTTAAAGATATATCCACGTCCTCTCTTTCTTGCACACATCACCCGCTCTTACATAAAGAGATTTTTATCTGAGGTCACCTCTTTTCTTCCTAAATATCTATGGAGATTCTCAACCATCCAGGTCATGGTTGTCCCAAAGGTGCTTTCCCAGAAGGCAAGTGGACTTTCTTTGGGAGGGGGGTTTCCTTGAAAACATTTCACTTCTCATTCAAGAAGCTTCTTCAATTCTAACCAGTTGTGTAACTGAACTGGTAACAGAACTGAAGAAGCTTCTTGGATGAGAAGTGAAATGCTTTCAAAGAAAAATACCAATAAAGTCCGCTTGCCTTTTGGAAAAGCACCTGTGGGATTTTTTTCCCCAAGGTACACACACACACACACACACACACACACACACACACTCTTGCAGGGGTCTTCAAACTTGGCCCTTTTATGACTTGAGGACTTCAACTCCCAGAATTCCTCAGCCAGACACGCTGGCTGAGGAATTCTGGGAGTTGAAGTCCACAAGTCATAAAAGGGCCAAGTTTGAAGACCCCTGGTCTGGATCCATGCCTGCAGTTTCATCAAAATGGCCGACTGAGGAATTCTGGGAGTTGAAGTCCACAAGTCATAAAAGGGCCAAGTTTGAAGACCCCTGCATTCTTGGATCTCTTGATGGGATATATAGTTAATGAAATGCTAGGCTTTGCCTATCCCTATAATGCATCTATATTCTAAATAAATCTTCCTATTGTAAAACTGCTTCACTAATCACCGCTCCGGTTATAAAATTCCCAGTCTCAGGAATGCACCTTGCCCAGACAGGATCAACTGAATCATTAAATAACCACAGAATTTACTCAAAGTTCTAAGGCCTTTTCTTCCCATCCAGCAGGTGGTTGGACTAGAAGACCTCCAAGGCAGTGGTGGGATTCAGCCGGTTCGCACCACTTCGGCAGAACCGGTAGCTATTTTTTTGTGGCCCAGGCCCAGAACGGACTTCCAGAAGCGGCATCTACACAGAGAACCGGTTGTTCACATATTTGAATCCCACCACTGCTCCAAGGTCCCTCCCAACTCTATCGTTCGATGTTCGTCCCCCAACAGACTAAGTTGAAAATGAATTACTGTACTTTTAACACACTGAGCAAATGAACCAGGAGGTTTTTTTTTAACTGACTTGGTTATTGATATTGCAAGTACCCAGCTGTTGCATCTTTATTCTCTTCCCTCTTTCAATTTGGAGACTGCTGAGAGGTAAAAGTTAGTAGGGGATATAATAAGCTCCCCCTGTTTCTCTCTCTTTACAGCTTGCCAGTCAGTTTGAAGAGAAGCCCAACGTTATAGCTCACTTCCATGAATGGCAAACGGGCCCCGGACTCATCCTGTGCCGGTCCAGGAAGATTCCAGTTGCTACCATTTTCACAACACATGCGACCCTGTTAGGAAGGTACCTCTGTGCAGCCAGCATAGACTTCTACAATCATTTGGATCAGGTGAGGAAACGTGGCTTGTCTTTGTCTCTCTTCTTGCCGGTGTGATTCTACAAACTCTCTCGGTGTAATGGTACATGGGAATGATCTTGGGAGATAGGGGGGGAAGCCTTAACTGATCTGATAAGGCAGGTCTTGTGAACCAGCCATGACATTCTTATTGGAATGTATTAAATAGTTTTCATTAGACCAGCTTTAAAATCAAGCATCTTCTGCTCCCAAGTATAACAGCCCAAGAGCTGTGATGGCGCAGTGGTTAGAATGCAGTACTGCAGGCTACTTCTGCTGACTGCCGGCTGCCAGCAGGTTGGCAGTTCGATCCTGACCGGCTCAAGGTCGACTCAGCCTTTCATCCATCTGAGGTCGGTAAAATGAGGGCCCAGATTGTTGGGGGCAATAGGCTGACCCTGTAAACCGCTTAGAGAGGGCTGTAAAGCACTGTGAAGTGGTATATAAGTCTAAGTGCTATTTTTATTGCTATTGCTATAACGACATGTGGAAATGACCTTAGAAGACAGGGACAGGAGCCTGGGAGAGAGATGGTGCCTAGGGAATGGTCAGATCAGAAAGGGCATCGCCTGCAGCTGCATCATGGGTGAAGAAAGAGACTCAGAAGAGACACTGCTCAATTCTCAGACTGTAAAAGAGGCAGTGAGAGACTTGCCAGGTAAACCAGACAGGAAATACAGCCAGGTGAGTTAATTCTAATAGTCAGGTAAGAGAAGGCTTAGCCTGCAGCTGTATAAATGGGTGGAGAAAGAGGGACAGAAAGGACGTTCTCTCTGGGTTCCCAAGCTGTAAATGAGACAGCGCCAGATTCGTACTTTCAAACTTGTAAGATTTTGTTAATGTAGCTTTAAAGTAGAATTAGCTTTGAAAGCCGTGAAGTTTCGATCAGAGTCTTGATGAGGGTGAGTGGGACCCCCTCACCCCATTGCATAGGGCAGTGGTGGCGAACCTATGGCACGCGTGCCAGAGGTGGCACCAGAGCCCTCTTTGTGGGCACGTGTGCCATGCCCTGGAGATGGCAACCGTTCCTCTTCAACCAGCTACGCAAGGTCCTACATGGCTGGATGCATCCCGGCATGGCTGGTTTCCCTCCCCCCCGTCCCGTCCCTCCTGGCCTCACATGCTCTCCTTTTCCCAGGCACGACCCACTGCATCGCCTCCTCAGCTGTCTGCCAGCAGTCCAGCTCAGAGGTGACATCTCTGAACTACTGGCGGCGGGCTGCGGAGCCCCAGAGTGTGCTGGTCAAGGAACCAGCAGGCTGTGGCTGCTGACAGACACTGTCAGCCCCCATGCGCTCACTGGCCCCTGTGTGCAGGGGCCGATAGTGTCAGGCAGCAGCTGCCCTGGCCCCTGCCTCTCCTGGCACTCCTGCCCTGCCTCGCCTCGCCTCACCCCACAGGACAAGCCTCCTGCCCACCGCCCCACCTGCCAGAGACCCCCTGGATCTCCCCCAATCCTGCCTGGCCCCCACAGGTGTCCCTCCCCATGAGCAGCATTGAGGTGACCACGCCCACTTTGGTCACATCCACCCAGTCTGCCATGACCACCATAGCCACATCCACCCAGTGGGCCACGTCCCACCGGGCACCCAGGGATAAATAAGTGGTTTTGGGTTGCAGTTTGGGCACTCAGTCTCTAAAAGGTCTGTCATGCTTCCATCTTTTATAGTAATTTTAGTGTTTAATTGTTAGGATTGTCCAGTGTCATTGGGAGTCAGGTGGGTTCTACACGTTTAATAAAATTCTTGTTGTTATTATGGTTTGGAAGAATGTCAACTTTCCATCAAGCTGATGTCCCACTGACCTACTGGACAAAAATTCATCTATTCCCAAGACCAATGCCAGTAGATTCCATCAGCAAACAAGTCCGTGCCAAAATGGCAACTCTACATAGTGACATCATCATGCAAATATCATTGTCCTGATGTCTGTTGCAGGTCCTTAAGGGCAGTATTTACATAATGATGTTGTTACAGACATTTCTTAGTTGCCTCTCCCTGTCCTGCAGCAGTGTTCCAATATCTGAGGGGCTGTCCCAAAGAAGAGGGGGGTCAACCTATTCTCCAAAGCGCCTGAAGGCAGGACAAGAAGCAATGGATGGAAACTCATCAAGGAGAGAAGCAACCTAGAACTAAGGAGAACTTCCTGATAGTGAGGACAATCAAGCAGTGGAACGGCTTGCATTCAGAAACTGTGGGTGCTCCATCACTGGAGGCTTTCAAGAAGAGATTGGGCAACCTTTTGTCTGAAATGGTATAGGGTCTCCTATTTGAGCAGGGGGTTGGACTAGAAGGCCTCCAAGGCCCCTTCCAACTCTGTTATTCTATTATTCTGTCCTGACTCCCGCTGTCAACTCTAATACTTACAAACGTAGGAGTACTGTTTGAAAACTTCCTTCATCTGTGATTTTTCCCTTCCATTTAACAGTTCGATATAGATAAAGAAGCAGGGGAAAGGGAGATATACCACAGGTACTGCATGGAGCGGGCATCTGTGCATTGTGCCCATGTCTTCACCACGGTCTCTCAGATAACGGCCATAGAAGCGGAGCACATGTTGAAGAGAGCAACTGGTAAGTGCTATCTTTCTCACAGCGTATGGCAGTGATGGCGAACCTTTTAGAGACTGAGTGCCCAAACTGCAACCCAAAACCCACTTATGCATGGTCGGGTGCTGGGTGGGTGTGGCCCATTGGGTGGGTGTGGCCCATTGGGTGGGCGTGGCTATGGTGGTAACGGCAGACTGGGTGGGACTAAAAAGTTCAATCAATCAATTTCAACTTTGCAAGATCTTTTTTTTTCCCACAAGAAGTTGAAGTTGACTGATTGATTGAACCTTTTTTTTTGTACATGGCAGCAGAGGCCTAAAGCGAAAAGGTTTTATAAAACCCAGCTGAAGGCCTAGGACTGGGGCGACGGTGCGCGTGCCCACAGAGAGGGCTCTGAGTGCCACCTCTGGCACCCGTGCCATAGGTTCGCCACCACTGGCATATGGTATAGGACAGGACAGGACAGGACAGGACAGGACAGGACAGGACAGGACAGGACAGGACAGGACAGGACAGAGATAGGCATTATAGGGACGGGCAAAGCCTAGCATTTCATTAACTATATATCCCATCAAGAGATCCAAGGATTCAAACCTGGCCCTTTTATGACTTGTGGACTTCAACTCCCAGGACATCTTTATTGTCATTGTGTAACTCACAACAAAATTAAGTGCTGTCCACAGTGCACACTACTCACAAGTAAAAACCACAAATAAGAACATACATTATATACACACGTTTCACATTCTATTCACCGTTGCGCTGCCCCTAATATTACACTTCAATGTTGCACTATATACTGTGATATTTAATATGGTTACAGTAGTGGCCAAAATTATACAGTAGAAATGCCACCTTTGGTTAAGTTTCCACCACTTTTTCTTCTAATTTCTTTATAACTGTAGCCCTGTTCACTTAATAATACTATTTTACATCGCTTTCTGGGAAACCAGTCAACTCTTTGCACCATGATATCAACCTAAGCAAGTTGTGATTCCTTTTTCTGGTTATTTGGCTATAACTTTTCATAGAATACAGTACAGATAATTGAACAAACTATGTTGCATTACATTCTTGATTAAATTATCTTTCCATAATTTTATGGTACTACTCCCCCAAAAAAGTGGTGTTATTAGCCATCAAACCTCAAAAATACACTTTTCCCAAAAGGTTTCCACACTTTTGGCCACTACTGTACAGCTCTGGGATAAAAATTATTTTTCAGCCTATTTGTCTTTGTTTTCATTATCCTGTACCATCTGCCAGATGGTAACAGTTCTAAAAAAGAATGTCCGGGATGAGATGAGTCTTTAAGAATGTTTTGAGCTTTCCTAAGACAACGGGAACTGTACAGTTCATCCCGGGGGGGGAGGGCAGCCAATAATCCTCTGGGCGATGGTAATGACCCTCTGGAGCGCTTTCCTATCTGCTACTGTGCAGTTGGCAAACCACACACAAATGCAATAGGTTAGAATGCTCTCGATGGAGCAACGGAAGAAGGTCACCAGCAGTTTTTCATTCAGTTGTTGTTTCCTGACAACTGGAAACAACAGTTGTCAGGCTGGCCTTCTTAACCAAACTTGGCCTTCTTAACCAATGCTATAACATAAGCACAGAAACATATTGTCAAAGATATTTCTTTAATAGTGAGAACAACCAAGAAAGAGTAATGTTGAAATCCTGAGGATGGTTGTTTCCTTGCAGATGTTTCATTACCCAGGGCTGATGTTGTTACCTAGTTTGGGTAACGAAAAGTCTGCAAGAAAACAACCAGCCTCAGAGAGCACCAAGGACTCCCCATTTCAACCCTTCAGTAAAAGAAGACCTCAGGATTTCTGCAGCTTCTTTAGCGTCAGGTGAAAAGAAGGTGATCGTGCTGGCCATTATATCAGTATATTTATAAAATAAAAACCTGACGTTTCAAATCAGTGATGGCGAACCTTTTAGAGACCGAGTGTCCAAAAACTGGCCCTGCTCCCCACTCCACCCCCTGCCCCGCCCCACCCCGCCTGCCCGCAGGGCCACTCACCGCCTCCAGGGCCCGCCGCAGATCATCCAGGCAGCCCAGCAGCGCCATGGGGGCCACGCCCTCTGCCCGCGCCCCACAGCATCAACTGTGCACGATGGGGCCTGAGGGCAGAGTCTTGTCTACGCTGCCTGGCTGCCATGTCCTTGGCTGCGCTGCTCCGTGTGGGCCACACTCGGGGGCGACTCCTCCAGGGGGGCTGCTGGTGAGGAGGAGGTTGCAGGGTGAGGCAAGGCTGGGGCAACGGCACATGTGCCCACAGAGAGGGCTCCGAATGCCACCTCTGGCACCAGTGTCATAGGTTCGCCACCACTGTTTTAAATGAACCCCATCATAGCACCAAGAACAATGTGAAATATTGAGGAGTCCCAAAATCATGATAACTTGATCCCTATTATTTGTAAGCTAATAGGACTCAGTCACATAAAATAATGTTTACAAGTTCTATATCTAGAGACATCTCAGGAGGATACATTGGCAGATAATATTAAATGTCACCAAAACATCCAGTAGAACGTATTACCCTTTTTTTTTTGAAATAGGGCATCTATCAAGGGCATCAAGGCTTAGCATCAGATTGCAAGGCCCTTAAATAATCGGCTTTATTCAGAGAAAATTGGAGTTGACATGCCTGTGCCAGAACTTTTGTTTGTAAAGAACGATTTGAAACTGGCACATGTCAATGTGCAAAGTTGTGAAATGTGCCTGTTGCTCAGAAAAAGGTCAATGGTCCTTGAGGAAGTCGATCATTAAGCCTGGCATTTGCCCAAGTGCATTGCAGTTTACAATCTGTGGGGAATCTATGCTTGGATAGAAGATAATTCCTTTCCAAATCACTGCTTCGGTATAGATTAATAATTAAGGTTGATTGTAGACTGCCTTCAGAACCTCTGTTCAAATAATGGTTTGCTTCAAATAATTATATGTGTGTCAATGTCCCACCATCATCTCTTCTCTTCTCTTCTCTTCTCTTCTCTTCTCTTCTCTTCTCTTCTCTTCTCTTCTCTTCTCTTCTCTTCTCTTCTCTTCTCTTCTCTTCTCTTCTGCATCTAGTCTAATCCTAGTCCTAGTCCTAATCCTATGATAGTCCTAGCCCAATGATGGCGAACCTTTTAGAGACTGAGTGCCCCAAAACTGGCCCTGCTCCTGCTCCATCCCTTGCCCCACCCCCACCCCGCCCCCACCCCGCCTGTCCGCAGGGCCACTCACTGCCTCCAGGGCCCACCACAGATCACCCAGGCAGCCCAGCAGCGCCATGGCAGCCATGCCCTCTGCCCGTGCCCCGTAGCATCAACTGTGCGTGATGGGGCATGAGGGCAGAGTCTTGTCTACGCTGCCTGGCTGCCATGTCCTTGGCTGCGCTGCTCTGCGTGGGCCACACTCGGGGGCGACTCTCCTCCAGGGGGGCTGCTGGTGAGGAGGGGGTCGTGGGGGAAGGCAAGGCTGGGGCAACAGCACACGTGCCCACAGAGAGGACTCCGAGTGCCGCCTCTGGCACCCGTGCCATAGGTTTGCCACCACTGTCCTAGCCCATTCTGTTCTACTCTACTCTACTCTACTCTACTCTACTCTACTCTACTCTACTCTACTCTACTCCACTCCACTCCACTCCACTCCACTCCACTCCACTCCACTGGCATTCTATTCTATATTGGTATTGATATTCTACTGGTACACATTCCAATTCCTGAAGGATCAACTTCTCAGCTTCTTTTTTCCCAAAAAATTTTTTTTTATTATTTTCCATCATAAAAAAAACAATCACAAGCATAATAAACACAATAACAAGTAAAAACCCCCCATTCCCCCCCCCCGGACTTCCCAAACCTAATCCCAGGATAATATTCATATATAAGTAAACAAATACTAATATCCCTAACTCCACAAAATATCTTAGTCTACAAAAAAGATAGAAAGAATAAACAAAAATAAAAAAAATCTAAAAACCTAAGTTATATTCTACCACTCTATGCTTCTTTTGAATATAAACAATCCATCTTCTCCA